AGTGAGTGTCTGTGAGTGTGTGTGAGTGTGCGTGTGTGTTAGTGTGTGAGTGTGTGTGAGTGTGTGCCGTGTGTGTGCCGTGAGTGTGTGAGTGAGTGTGTGTGAGTGAGCGTCAGTGTGTGTGAGTGAGTGTCAGTGTGTGAGTGTGCGTGTGTGTGTGAGTGTGTGTCAGTGTGTGTGAGTGAGCGTGTGAGTGAGTGTGTGAGTGTGTGTGTCAGTGTGTTTGAGTGTGTGTCAGTGTGAGTGTGTGAGTGTGTGTCAGTGTGTGAGTGTGCGTGTGTGAGTGTGTGTGGGGAGCGGTAGTGTAGCGGTTAGCGCGCTGCGCTATGAACCCGGCGACCCGGGTTCGATTCCCGCTCACGGCCAACATCAGTGACGATTATCTGAACCGGTCCCGGGCCTCCCCTAGGTCGACTCAGCCTCAAATGAGAACCTGGTGCGGTGTGTAAACATTTCTACTAGGGAGACAAAGGCGGTCGGGCGTGGTGCTGGCCACCCACCCCCTAGTGTACTGTTCCGGCCTTCATAGGTACTCGTTAACAGCACTTGCCCCTACAGTCTGTTAAGGCTATATGGGGGATCTTTGTCAGTGTGCGTGTGTGTGAGTGCGTGAGTGTGCGTGTGTGTGAGTGCGTGAGTGTGTGAGTGCGTGAGTGTGCGTGTGTGCGTGTGTGTGAGTGCGTGAGTGTGTGAGTGCGTGAGTGCGTGTGTGAGTGTGTGCGTGTGTGTGAGTGTGTGCGTGTGTGTGAGTGTGTGCGTGTGTGTGAGTGTGTGCGTGTGTGTGCGTGTGTGTGAGTGGGTGTGTGCGTGTGTGTGAGTGTGTGCGTGTGTGTGAGTGTGTGCGTGTGTGTGAGTGTGTGCGTGTGTGTGAGTGTGTGCGTGTGTGTGAGTGTGTGCGTGTGTGTGAGTGTGTGCGTGTGTGTGAGTGTGTGCGTGTGTGTGAGTGTGTGCGTGTGTGTGAGTGTGTGCGTGTGTGTGAGTGTGTGCGTGTGTGTGAGTGTGTGTGTGTGAGTGTGTGCGTGTGTGTGAGTGTGTGCGTGTGTGTGAGTGTGTGCGTGTGTGTGAGTGTGTGCGTGTGTGTGAGTGTGTGCGTGTGTGTGAGTGTGTGCGTGTGTGTGAGTGTGTGCGTGTGTGTGAGTGTGTGCGTGTGTGTGAGTGTGTGCGTGTGTGTGAGTGTGGGAGTGTGTTTGTGAGTGCGTGAGTGTGTGCGCGTGTGTGAGTGTGTGTGTGCTGCGAACCCGGGTCGCCGGGTTCGATTCCCGCTCACGGCCAACACCACCAGTGACGATTATCTGAACCGGTCCTGGGCCTCCCCTAGGTCGACTCAGCCTCAAATGAGTACCTGGTGCGCTGCGTAAACATCGTCACCGGGGAGACAAAGGCGGCCGGGCGTGCTGATGGCCACCCACCCCCTCGTGTGCCGTGCCGGCCTTCACAGGTGCTCGCTAACGGCACTTGCCCCTACAGCCTGTTCCAGGCTACACGGGGGATCTTTGTCTTTGTGCGCGTGTGCATGCGCCTGTTCGATGGCCGTGTGTGCATCGCGTGTCAAATATGTCCACCCGGTACCGCGGGGGAGACAAAGGCGGTCGGGGACGTGGTGTTGGCCACCTATCCAGTCGCTACCACCGCCCTAATAGGTGATCGCTGACAGCGCTTGTCTAAAATCGTCTGTTGAAGGGGATCTTCGTCGCTGTGTCTCTGTGTGTCTGTATATTTGTGTCAATATCTCCGTGTAGTATCGTATCTGTGTGTGCCATGAGTGTGTTTAAGTACAGTACGTGTGTGTGTGCCTGTGTGTGTGTAGATGCGCGTGCGTGTGCGTCGCAAACGGCACTTGCCCCATAAGTCCGGTTAAGGCTATACGGGGTATCTTTGCCTTTGTGTGTGTCTGTGTGTCTGATTGTTTGTGTCTGATTGTGTGTGTCTGTGTGTCTGTGTGTGTGTGTGATTGTGTGTGTCTGTGTGTGTGTCTGAGTGTCTGTGTTTGAGTGTGAGTGTCTGTGTGTCTGAGTGTGTGTGTGTCTGATTGTGTGTGTCTGTCTGTGTGTGAGTGTCTGTGTGTCTGATTGTGTGTGAGTGCCTGTGTGTCTGATTGTGTGTGTGTGTCTGATTGTGTGTGTGTGAGTGTCTGTGTGTGTCTATGTGTGAGTGTCTGTGTGTCTGATTGTGTCTGTGTGTGTGTGTACAAGTGGGGAGCGGTGGTGCAGCGATTAGTGCGCAGCGCTACGAACCCGGCGACCCGGGTTCGATTCCCGCTCACGGCCAACACCCAGTGACGATTATCTGAACCATAGGTCGACTCAGCCTCAAATGAGTACCTGGTGCGGTGTGTAGTAAACATCGCCAATGGGGAGACAAAGGCGGTCGGGCGTGGTGCTGGCCACCCACCCCCTCATGTGCCGTGCCGGCCTTCATAGGTGCTCGCTAACAGCACTTGCCCCAGCAGTCTGTTACAGGCTACACGGGGGATCTTTGTCTTTGTGTAACCCTGGCAATATTACACGCATCTTGTTTGATATACACTGGCGGTGTGGGTTTACATAATAGTCAATGTTTATGCAATTATTAATTTGAATTGAACTTCGCGTGTGTTTAAACATGTGCCTGTGTGTACGCGTGTGATAGATTGTCCGTGTGTGACACGTGTGTGACACGTGTGTGCGGGTCTGCGTGTGGGTGTGAATCGTGCCCTTGTGTATGTTGTTAGGGACGTGTGTGTTGTGTAAAGAGCTTCCCGGCTCATCGGATTTCTCCAAGATGAATCTGATTCTGTGCGTTGCACGCGCGTGTGTGTGTCTGTATGTATCGGCGCATGTGTCTGTGTGTTTTCATCTGTATGCATATTCGTGTATGTATCTCTATGTATGTATCTGTGTGTGTGTATCTGTGTGTATGTATCTGTGTATGTATCTGTGTGTGTATGTTTCTGTGTGTATGTATCTGTGTGTGTGTATGTATATGCATGTGTATGAATCTGCGTGTATGCTTCTCTGTGTCTGTGTATCTGTGTGTATGTATCTGTGTATGTATCTGTGTGTGTGTGCTGTGTGTATGTATCTGTGTGTATGTATCTGTGTGTATGTATCTGTGTGTGTGTATCTGTGTGTGTATATGTGTGTATGTATCTGTGTGTGTATGTATCTGTGTGTATGTATCTGTGTGTATGTATCTGTGTGTATGTATCTGTGTGTGTATGTATCTGTGTGTGTATGTATCTGTGTGTATGTATCTGTGTGTATATATCTGTGTGTGTGTATCTGTGTGTGTATATGTGTGTATGTATCTGTGTATGTGTCTGTGTCTGTGTGTATGTATCTGTGTGTGTGTGTCTCTGTGTGTGTATCTGTGTGTGTGTATCTATGTGTGTGTATATGTGTGTATGTATCTGTGTATGTGTCTGTGTGTATGTATCTGTGTGTATGTATCTGTGTGTATGTATCTGTGTGTGTGTATCTGTGTGTATCGGTGTGTATCGCTGTGTGTGTATGTATGTCTGTGTGTATGTATCTGTGTGTATGCATCTGTGTGTATATATCTGTGTGTGTATCTGTGTGTATATGTGTGTATGTATCTGTGTATGTGTCTGTGTCTGTGTGTATGTATCTGTGTGTATGTATCTCTGTGTGTGTGTATCTGTGTGTGTATCTGTGTGTGTATACGTGTGTATGTATCTGTGTATGTGTCTGTGTCTGTGTGTATGTATCTGTGTGTATGTATCTGTGTGTATGTATCTGTGTGTGTGTGCTGTATGAATGATGGAGGCCGGGCTCTATGCGGCGCTGCCGTTTGCATGCGGCGCGCGTGCGTTCTCGGCAGGTGCACGCGCACGCGGGGTGGGGGCCGGGGGGGAGAGGGGAGGGGCGCGAGGGGGGGGAAGGAGGAGAGGGGGGAAGGAGGAGAGGGGAGGGGCGCTGGGGGGAAGGAGGAGAGGGGAGGGGCGCGCGGGGGGAGGGAGAGTGGTGGATGCGGTGTTTGTAGTCAGACAGGGAGAGGCACGGAGATACACAGAGAGGGATGACAGACGGGACAGATAGACAGACGGGCCAGAGGCGAGGAGACACGGGCTGTTTGCGAGCACCTATTAAGCCCTAGGGACAGGTTCTTAATGCCACTCGCAACCATGGCTAGGATTCGAACTCAGTGTATCCCCGAACCAATGCAGCATCACCGCTCCCACCCCCACACAGCGAGATACACAGACCCCCTAAACAGACTGTTAGGGCAAGTGCTGTTAGCGAGCACTGATATAGACAGATACACAGACACAGAAAGAAACACACACACAGAAGGACACACACACAAGAAACACACACGGACACATACACGGACACAGACACACACAGACACTCATACACACAGACACACACAGACACACACAAGACACACACACAAGACACACACACACAAGACCCACACACAGACACACACAAGACATACACACACAGACACACACACACGGACACACACACAGACACACACAAGACACACACACAAGACACACACACAAGACACACACAAGACACACACAGACACACACGCGAACAGACCAAACGTCACATGGATCTGCATCACCGATCAGACGCCTCTTCAACTCAAACTGCCCAGGTAGCGATGCGGGCTCCTAACCCCGGGACCCCCCCGCCCCCACCCCCTGCGCCGTTCCTCGCACCCCCAGGAGCCGCGAGACCCCCCCGAGCGAGGGGGTACCCCCGGAAAGCGCGAGAAGGACCCAGGGCTCCTCCAACAGGAGTCCCCGTTCGTCGCCAAGGGGGCTCCGGAGAGCGGGGCTGGGGTGGGTCGGGGGTGGTGGTGGTGGGGGTGGTGGTGGGGGTGGTGGTGGTGGGGGTGGTGGGGGTGGTGGTGGTGGGGTCGTCACAACGCGGTCACCCCCGGTACCCCGATGGGCGAATAAACTGGAACCGAGGGGGTCCGGAGCCCGACGGGCCCCGGAGTCGCCCCGGAGTTGGGAGGTCGCGGGTTCGAGCCCCGCGGTGGGAGGGAGGGAGGGGGAGGGCAGCTCTGGACGGGGCAGCGGGGGCAGCGGGGGCAGCATGGGGGACGGGGAGGAGAAGGCGCCGCGGGGCTTCGCGCGGAAGGGCGCCCTCAAGCAGAAGAACGTGTCGGAGGTGAAGGACCACCAGTTCGTGCCCAGGTTCTTCAAGCAGCCCACGTTCTGCAGCCACTGCACCGATTTCATCTGGTGAGGATCTCCCCCCCCCCCCCCCCACAAGCCCCGCCCCCCGCCCCTCGCCCTACGTCACAGCCCCCCCCCCCTCTCTCGTCCCCCGCCTGTCGAGGCAAGTGCTGTTAGCCCGTCCGTCTTTGTATCCCCCCCCCATCATCTCCCACAGCTCCCCCCCCCGCCTCACATCACCTTCCTTCACCCCCTCCCCCCATCACGCCCCACAAGCCCCTCCCCCATCATCCCCCACAACCCCTCCCCCCCATCACCCCCTACAATCCTCCCACCCTCATCACATCCACCCCCCCCCCCGTTCCAACCAACCCCCACAAGCCCCCCACCCCTCCATCACCCCCCCACCATCACCACGCAGCCCCCGCGCCCCCCCACCCTCATCCCGCAAATCGCTCACGTGCTCCCGCACCCCTGCATCACCCCCCACCCCACGCCGCTCCCCGTGTGTGTGTCTGTGTGTACGTGTGTACGTGTCTGCCTGTGCGCGCGTCTCTGTGCGTGCACGCGCGTGTCCGCGTGTGATTGTGTGTCTGCGTGACTGTGCGTGTCTGTCCGTGCGTGACTGTGCGTGCGTGTCTGTGCGTGCGTGTCCATGTGTGCGTCTGTCTTCCTGTGTGTGTGTGTGTTTGGTCACGTGTCTGTGTGTCTGTCTGTGCGCGTTTGCTCTCTGCTCGTGCGTGCTATCGATCTCTATTGCCCGTCGATATATCCGTCTGTGGGTCTGTCTCTGCGCCATGAACCATGTGACAAGGGTTCGATTCCTGCTCACGGCCAACACCAGTGACGATGATCTAAACCGGACCCGGGCCTTCCCTAGGTCGACTCAGCCTCAAATGAGTACCTGGTGCGGTGTGTAAACATTGCACTAGTGAGACAAAGGCGGTCGGGTGTGGTGCTGGCAACCCACCCCCTCGTGTACCATTCTGGCCTTCATAGGTGCTCGCTAACAGCACTTGCCCCTAGAGTATGTTAAGGCTATACGGGGGATCTTTGTCTTTGTCTATCTCTGTGCCCGTCTGTCTGCCGATCTGTCTTTGGATCTCTGTGTCCGTCGGTCGGTCTGCTCGTCTATCTGGTCACGTTCCCTGCATCGCCTTGCTGTGATGTCCATGGGGTGATGGTAATGGAACCACCAACTTAACCAGGGCACCTCCAGAAGACCTAAATCCTGAGCGTGATACTCATCCTGACCCTAACTAACCACTAGCCCTGACCCCAACTCCTCACACTAACCATCACCACTAGCCCTGACCCCATACCTGACCCCAACTCCTCACACTAACCATCACCACTAGCCCTGACTTCATCCTTGACACCAACTCCTCACACTAACCATCCCCACTAGCCCTGACCCTAACCCTGACCCCAACTCCTCACACTAACCATCACCATTAGCCCTGACCCCAACTCCTCACACTAACCATCACCACTAGCCCTGACCCCATCCTTGACCCCAACTCCACACACTAACCATCACCACTAGCCCTGATCCCAACACTAACGCCGACCCTGGTACTAACCCTATTCGATCGCCCGAACGCTCACCCTAACGCCGGTCCTAACACTGACCCTAAACCACCACCCCACAACTGAACCGAACCCGATAACCCCATAAACACGAGTCCTAACGATGACCATAATACTTCAAGCTCACCCTAACCTTGACCTCCACTCCCCATCACCCCCCCCCCCCGGCTCTCCACCCCCTCGCGTCTTCTCCATTAGACTAATGGCCGTAATGATTCCTCGCCCAACACGCTTTCCTCCCACGTCTTAATTAATTGCTTTTGACCCCGTGACCTTTTCATCTTGGAAAAGGTTGCGAGAGAAGAAAGGAGGAGGAAGGGGAGGAGGGATGAGGAGGGAGTAGGAGGGGAGGGGGTGGGAGCTGGTGGTGGTGGTGGAAAGGACCGCGATCACGTGCCGGATCTCTCAATGCGTCGAGATAAAGGCGCATCCCTGGAATTTGCTTGGATCACGCTGCTGCTGGGGGAAGCCTCAGCCCCTCTCCCAAGAGCCTCTCTCTCTCTTTCTCTCTCCACGGAGCAGGAGTCGGCAACCCGCGGCTGCTTCATGACCCGTTATTTATCAAGGAGCCGTTCCCGTATTCACCACAATGCATTGCGGCACTTAAAATGTTGAGGTCTTTTGTTGTTGTTGTTGTTTAACGAAATTCGGCTAGAAACTGAAATTGCTTCTTTGTTCAATTTTGTCTTAAAACTTTCGTGACTGCAGGAATTCATATTCTTCGTTTATTTTCATTTTATTATTATTTTTATTCACTTTCTTTTTTAAATGATTATTTTTCTATCAACGTGGCTTTACCGAAAGAACCAAAGAAGATGCCTCTGTTGTTGTTGAGTTTCTACGCCGCCACGCTGCCACCCTTGCCCATCTCGTGGTGCCCACACGTGACCCCCCCACCGCACGCGCGCGACCTACCGATCGACTTCACTGTGGTGGGTCGGTGCACAGAGGGGGGTAGGGGGGGGGGACGCGGGGGGCGGGGGGCGGGTGCAGTGTTGAAGAAACTCGACCCCCCCATTATTTCACACTGCCGCCCCGGGAGAGAGAGAGAGAGGCATTCGAAGCGTTGACCTCTGCAAGGCCGCTCGACCTTTAGGCCGAGGTCACGGTGGAGGCCTGTGGGACTGAGCGCTCCGTGAGCGGTGTACGACTGACCGTCTTGTTTTGTCCCTCTGTCTCTCTGTCCGTCCGTGTGTGTGACCAGGGGCGTGGGGAAGCAAGGCTACCAGTGCAAAGGTGAGCGACACGCCGCTTTGTGCGCGCGCGCGCGCGTCTCACTCTGTGCGCGTGGGTGTGAGCGGGGAGCGGTGGCGCAGCGATTAGCACGCTACGCTGCGCTACGAACCCGGCGGGCCGAGTTCGATTCCCGCGCGCGGCAAACACCCAGTGACGGTTATGTGACCAGGTTCTGGGCCTCCCCTGGGTCGACTCGGCCTCAAATGAGTACCTGGTGTGGTGTGTAAACATCGCCACTGGGGAGACAAAGGCGGCCGGGCGTGGTGTTGTCGACCCACCGCCTCATGTGCCGTTCCAGCTTTCATAGATGCTCGCTAACAGCACTTGCCCCTACAGTCTGTTAAGGCTACATGGGGGATCTTTGTCTTTGTCTGTGTGTGTGTGTGTCTCACTGTTCGACACTTCACGTGGCCTTGAAGTGCACTTAGCCTGGCACAAGCGCCGTGGTGACGCCACCGCCACTTAGTGGCGAATGGCGGTTGTCTTTGTTGCTTTGTGTGTCAACTAGGTGCTCGCTAACAGCACTTGCCCCAACAGTCTGTTACAGGCTATACGGGGGATCTTTGCCTTCGTCTGTGTGTGTTCGATTCTCGCTCACAGTCAGCACCAGTGACAATTATCTGAACCGGTCTTGGGCCTCGCCGAGGTCGACTCAGCCACAAATGAGTACCTGGTGCGATGTGTGAGCATCGCCACTGGGGAACAAAGGTGGCCGGGCGTGGTGTTGGCCACCCACCCCCTCGTGTGCCGTGCCGGCCTGCGTGGGATGCTCGCTCACAGCTCTTGCCCCTACAGCCTGTGAAGGCTACACGGCTACCTTTGTGTTTGTTGTTTACATACAGGGATTTATTTCTCAGGCCTGGACAGCTCCAGTTGAAATAAAGCCCCCCGTGTGTTTGTGTACATACGGCAGCCATAAATCCATACGGAATACACGCGGTCATCAACAAAGACAAAGATCCCCAGGGTAGCGTTAACAGACCGTTAGGGCAAGTGCTGTCAGTTGCGCACCTATGAAGGCCGGACACGGCACACGAGGTGGGGTGGGTGGCCAGCACCACGCCCGGCCGCCTTTGTCTCCCTCGTGACGATGTTGACACACACCGCACCAGATAGTCATTTCGAGGCTGAGTCAACCTAGGGGATGCCCCGTACCGCTTCGGACTAATCGTCACCGATGTTGGGCGTAATCCGGGAATCGGACTCGGGTCGCCGGGTTTGACAGCGCGTAGGCTAATCGCTGCGCCACCGCTCCCCCGCCCTCACCCCCCAGCAATCTGCAACGCACACACACGCGCGCGCACGTGGGCTCTAAAGAGATAACGAATCTGGATGGGCTGTCAAGTGGTTAAATAAAGGAGGTTAATGAGTCACAGTGTGAGTTTGTGTGTGTGTCGTCCGGGAACGGTGGTGCAGCGGTTAGCGCTACGCTGCGCTACGAACCCGGCGATTCCCGCTCACGGCACAACACCGCCAGTGGCGATTGTCTGAACCGGGTCCTGGGCCTCCCCCTAGGTCGACTCAGCCTCAAATGAGTACCGAGGTGCGCTGTTGTAAACATCGCCACCGGGGGAGACAAAGGCGGCCGGGCGTGGTGCTGGCCACCCACCCACACCCCCCCTCTCGTGTGCTGTGCCGGCCTTCATAGGTGCCGCTCGCTAACAGCACTTGCCCCAACGGTCTGCTTACGCTACTCGGGGGATCTTTGTCTTTGTAGCCCAGGAACGTATTTTTTTAATGAATTCTGCACAATTGCTGCTGACACAAGGACGAGTGTCGATGAGTCACCGCGCCATCTCGTTCATCCCACCCCCACCTCGACACACAAAGGGAAAGTGCCGCCATATAGCCTCACAGGCCGGCGTGGGGGCAAGTGGTGTTGGCGAGCACCTGTTACGGTCAGCACGGCGCACCGAGGTGCGGTGTGGTTCAGAGCCGTGGCCGGCCCGACCGCCTTTGTCTCCCCCCCCCCCCAACGCAAATGTTTACACGCCGCGGAGAGGGGGGGGGTTACTCGATAAAGGCTTCATCCACCTGTCGAAGAGGCCCAGGATCGGTTCAAATATTCGCGACATTGAGACACAACAACAACAACAGCCGCCGTTCAGCACTAACGTGGCCGTGACGTCACCACGGCACTTGTGCCAGGCTAGGTGCACCTTGAGGCCGCGTGAAGTGTCGAAGGCTCGCCTGCTGGCATTGAGGTCACGGGACAGACCCAGGTGCCATTGGGATGACCGATTGAGATGACTGACACTCACAACGCCCGCTGGCATTGAGGTCACGGGGCAGACCCAGGTGTCACACGTGCACGTTGAACTTCCTTCGCACCGTACGTAGCCCACCGTGCTAAGCGGAGGATCGAGAGATGACTGGCAGATGCGTCACCTGTGCTCCCCACTGTTGAGAGAGAGCCACACACCCCAAGGCCGTAGCCATGGAGTCAACATTGGGGGGAACCAAATCTTCCCAGGGGGTCTGTGGGTCCACCCCCAGAAAAAAAATAAAAAATTGAAGATGAATTTCCTGCCATTTCCTGCCTAAAATCTTAAATAATTCACTAACACATAGGATGTATTTTTTTTCTTTTTTACAATGTCTAAAAGTTACATTTCTGTTTTTTTTTACCTTTTCTTGTTGCATTGTATGTTAATGACAGAGATTAGGGATTAACAAAGTACAACCATAACCACAATCATATAAACAGAAATCTATTTTATAGCAATATATTGGGGGGGGGGGACATTTTGAGCATATTAATACAATTCTCACGACGTTTCGGCCACAACGCAATCAGCCGTCCTCAGGTGAAGAACAGGTCTGTCGGAAAGACAGCGTCTTTCCGACAGACCTGTTCTTCAGACGCTGTCTTTCCGACAGACCTGTTTTTCAGACGCTGTTTTTCGAACAGACCTGTTCTTCACCTGAGGACGGCTGCTTGCGTTGTGGCCGAAACGTCGTGAGAATTTCATTTGATTATGTTTTATTTTTATAATTTTATTATTTACCTTCTACGTGACTTTACCGAAAGAACCAAGAAGATGAATCCCTACAGTCGCGAATCCTTTAAATCGAAACACACCCACATGTATACAGTTACAGAGTGAATAGCACTCTCAACAGCTGTAGACGGCTACGAGGCAAACAGCGCGCGCACGTTCACGGCTTGTGCAGAGGAGGAGGCGGGCACGCGCCCGGCTCACAAGCGGCTCGCTCCTGTCCACTGGGCGTTCTGTCGAGTTGGTGTCAAATTCCACATTCGTATTATTGGTTTTTTCGGTAAAGTCACGTAAATAGAATAAAAAAAATAGAAAATCATATTAGCAAAAAACCCGCAATAAAAATAAGAACTAAAAATGGTAAAATAAAATTACAAATTAAAAATAAATTGAAAATAATCAAAGCAAACAACGCACATAAAAGCAAAAAAGGGACCCCCTCCCCCCTCCGCCACCACCACCCGCCCCTCGACGTCGAGAAGGACGGCGCAAAGTGGGCGCGCGCTCAGCCAGACGCGTCGGTCGGTCGGTCGGTCGCGACTTCTCAGCCCGGAGTCTCGGACACCGCACGGAGTGACGGTCGTCGATTCGCCAACGAGTTCCGTTTTTTTTCCCCCGTTTCCCGTTGCGCTTCTGCGGTCGTCTGGAAGGAAACGCGCGCTTTGGTATTGAAAACTCATAACTTTGGAACGGCTTCTTGTGTTTGCTTCGTTGCCTTTCCACCCGCGCACTGTGATCATCACGGCTGGCTACGTACGGCGCAGAAGAAGTTCAAGCGTACATCCGAATCACGATCTTGATTTAGACTCGAGGGAGCCCATGAGCCATGGAAGCTCTTTGTCACAGATGGGCCGATCGGCATGTGTACATTTGCACTCCCTCCGTGTGCTTCTGTTCTGTACCACTTCTCTTAGCCACGCGCGTTATCCTTTCCGTACCGATCCGTCGACTTATTTAGTAGAGGGAGAAACGTGGCCTTGCATCGAGACGCGTAGACTTACATAGAGGCTCATAGACTTGCATATTGACTCATAGACTTACATAGAGAATCATAGACTTGCATATATAATCATAGACTTACATACAACTCATAGAATTAAATAGATAATCATAGACTTACATAGAGATTCACAGACTTGCATACAAACTCATAGACTTACGTAGATAATCATAGTCTTACATAGAGACTCATAGACTTACATACAGACTCATAGACACACTAGCATACAATTTACATGATCCACACACTTGCATAGAGAACCACACAGACTTGAAGACGGACTCGCACACGATTACACAATCGGCGTCTGTATTTATCCTGGAGGAATCCGATGAGCTCAGAAGCTCTGTTTCACAGATGTCCAATTACATGGTCCACAGACTTGCATAGCAACCCACAGACTTACACACAGACGCGTAACAATTACACAGCCTTACGTGCGGACCCACAGATTCACATACGCTTACACGACCCATAGACCTGCATAGAGACCCATAGACTCACGGCTTGTGCAAAGCCAGAAGTCCCATTACCGCAAGGGGCTCGTCTCTCCGATTTCCTTCCACCGAATGCTTCTAAATCTCTCGCCATATCCATTATCCTTGCACAGAGATCCAGTGACTCGCACAGAGACCCGTAGTACTTACGTAGAGATACAGTGACTGATATGGAGACCCGTAGTACTTACGTAGAGATACAGTGACTGACATGGAGAACCCATAGACTTGCATAGAGATACAATGACTGACATAGAGACCCATAGACTTGCATAGAGATACAACACACACAGACAACTCACACACACAGACACACGCATAGTCACACACAGACACACACAGACACTCACACACAGACACTCACACACACAGACACTCACACACACAGACACACACACAGACACTCACACACACAGACACTCGCACACAGACACTCACACCACAGACAGACATT